CCAGCCAGCGTACCCCAGGGAAATGCTATGGCTTACTGGCTGTGAGGAAAGTGCTCCACCTTCATAAACCCTCATGGTTCTTCTAAAAAATAATGGAAATTCTCTCTGTCCCACAAACAGTGTTTCTCAGCCGATTCCTACAAAGTTCATGAAAGTATATGATGCCACAGCAAATCACCAAGAGAAGGCCTTCAGGACACAACAACTTTGTCATTGTTGTGAAGTGCGGACGAGTCCTTCTGACTATAGGGTTTCCAAAGAGGCACTGGTGGGTTTGAACTGCTGACCTTAAGGTTAAGAATCCAATGTTAATCCTACAATGCCACACCTGGACTCACTTCACAGCAACGTTAGAACTTCAATTTGCCAACACTTTTCATGCCAGCTCTCCCTAAACGTCATCTACTTGTAGGTATTATCATTTATCATTCCTTATGCGAACCGCAAGGTCAGCAGTTCGAAACTACCAGCTGCTCCGCGGGAGAAAGAGGAGGCTTTCTGCTCCCGTAAAGATTTACAGCCTCGGAAACCCTGTTCAGGGTCGCTATGGGTCGGAACCGACTCGATGGCACTTAACAACAACAACATGTTACAAATGAGGACACTGAGTCACCAACAGGGGAAAAAAAAAATCAATGCAGGGAGCCATCCCAAAACTTAACACAGGAAAAGATTTTTCACATAAATGGGAGTTTTACTGCTTCATTTGATCAAGTTACGGCCAACTCCGTGGGTCAGGACTGAGTTTACCAGCCTAAATGTTGACAGTCTGAGTTGGCTATGGGAGCCAAACCTTCCCTATGTCTTCAAAAGGATCAGAACACTCAGTAGGTCTTTCATTTGCTTTGTCTTAAAGAGCAGAGGCTTAAAGAGGCAAGGGTGTTCCACTTCAGAGGACAACAGATCTGAAGGCAGTAGATTCCACACAACTCATTCTCTATCCTAGGGAAAGACTTTTTTTCTCTCACTACCACCCCACGTCACAAATATCCTTGTTGTTGTTAGCCGTTGGCAAGTTGGTTCCCACTCATGGTGACATTGTATAGGTTTCCAAGGTTATAAATTTTTACAGCAGCATAAAGCCTCATCTTCTCCCAAGGAGCACTGGTAGGCTTAAACTGCTGACCCATTGTTGCAGTCCAGTGCTTTCACAAACATACACAACATATATGTATAGTCTCTGAACTTGGTAGCTAGCACCTCCATTTAGCTAGCCCCATCCAACAAGCATTTATTCTTCATCAACTGTTTGTTGGAAGCTGCTAATGAAGGGCTAAAACAAAATCGTGAGCAACGGAGCCAGAGCCAGTGTCCGTACATGTTCCAATCTAGTGTGGAAGAGAAACAAAAACCAACAGCTCAAACCGAGTCAAGTGCTTTAAAGGAACAACACAACTTCACTGATCTTTACTTCTCCTGGCCTCAAGTGAGACCCAATGGAGGAGGAGGATGAGCAACTACTAGTGGCAGGCACTCTGCTTGGCACTGGGAGATAATAGAGAGCAAAACATATAGAACTAATGGAATATAAGGTAACCACAATGAGGTTGGGGTGGGGGGGTTTAGTTTGGGTGTTGGGGAGGGCAATACAAGAAGAGGGGAGGAGGCAGAGGAACAAGATAGAGAGGGGAACACTGAGACAGGTTTGCATGGCCTAGTGGGACAGAGGTAAATAGTGATGCATACTCAACCCTGGAACAACAGGGTTCTGACACAGAGGGATCTAGGTGTAGCTTGAAGAGGGTAAATAATACTAAAACCCTTGACTGCCTTATGAATATTAGTTTCCATTGCCTACTATTGTAAAATAGACATTTGAGTGGGATAGAAAAGAATGTTGGGAAACATGATTACAGAAAACTTGTAAGCCTGTCTTCAGCCTATAACTGATTGGAATACCTAAAAGGGTGTTCTAGAACTTGCTCAGTGAAATAGGCCTCATGTAAAGCCTTTACAGAGTATAGGATCTTAGGTAGAATTCTAAGTCCCATCCAGAACCTTACGAGGTGGGACATTCCCACTAGAAAGGACAAGCAGACTGGAACAGGTAGAGTGACAGAAGATACACCTTCAAAAAAAGATAATCAAGAAAAACCCAAAACAAAAATGTCAGCCTGACTGGCTACCACAAGAATAAGCCGGCTGTTTGCCAGGAAGACATCAAGGCTAGCAATCAAGTGCCTTCAGGACAAACTTCCCTCTAAGACTGAAACTCAAAGGGAATACACAAACAAGCATGTAAGCTTACTGGTGACCACATTGGTCTACTGGTGAGTGGAAGAGACGGAAAGACATCAATGATGATATGGGCTGAGTTCAACCCCAGTTGATTGAATCCCGTTGACCTGGAGATGAGAGAGAGAAGAGGAAGGGCTGGTTGGTCCAAAGTGTGGTGAGACCTGAGGACACTTGAGCCCATGGACAAGGACTTAGCCACAGAGGGCTAGAGCTGAAAGTGAAGCATCCAGCTGATATGAAGTGAGGGGAGATGCACAAGAACGCCCAAACTTGCATATAGTACCCTTTTAACCTAGCCTCGATGGCTCAATAATCAGAACTCGACTAGAGGAAGATTGGGGGAAAAAAAAAATTTGGTTTTTTTTTGTTTGTTTTTTTTTGGTTAAAGGTAACAAGGGTAAATTACTTCAATTTGATGAACCTGACCTCTACTCAGAGCAGTAGTTACTCTAAATACCAATAGAGAGGGAAAGAGTCTTCACATAAAGTATCAATGTTATCCCCTCTGTACGCAGGATAGATAGAGACAGGCAACTTAGACATTGGCTACCTAAATAAAGTAATAAAGGGGTCAATAAAGGCATGAAGTAACTGGCTTTTTCTGCATAAAGTAAGGTTTCAAGAGGGAGTTTAGTTTAAGAGTATGGGGAGAAAGAAAGAGTCCCCACTGAATAGCTGTCATCTTGTCTAGATGGAGCTGATGAAAAGAGATGGGGATAAGATTCATATGATTGAATAGTGAATAATTGTTATCATGACTAATTGAGACTGTCACAATTGTAAAGGTAGAATTTTTATAACAAAAACAGAGGAGTGGTTAATCTTACAGTCCAGAAACAGAGGACCCTAGGACCATTGGAGAGAAGTACACAAGCAGAATGCGGGACCTTATCCAGAGAAGCAGCAGCACCAGAGATGGAGGCAGAGATGGGGGCATGGAGAGGGGAAGTGGCTGAGGACTCTAGATTCATGGACTAAGAAGAGAGGAACTAAGAGTTGGTGGCCAGTATGCAGAATGTGCCCTTCGGAGATGTAAATTATTATATATGCCTGAGTGGATAGAAAGAAATACTGTTAACTGATGGTACATGAAGGGGATTATAATCATTGTAATGAAACAAGGTATATGATTTGTTGAATGTAAAACTGATAAGCCCTGTAAACTTTCACTCAATCCACAATAAAAACCTTAAATTAAAAAAAAAATGAAATAAAATTTCTTGACACACAAAAAAAGATGTCAGCTTGAGGACGAAGGTATGTCTGACCCAAGCCAGGGTATTTTCAATAGCCTCATATGCATGTGAAAGTTGGACAATGAATAAGGAAGACCATAGAAGAACTGATGAATTTGAGTTATGGTGTTGGAAAATATTAAAAGTACCTTGGACTGCCAAAAGAACAAACAGATTTGTGTTGGACAAGTACAGTCAGTATGCTGCTTAGAAGCCAGACTTTGTCTCTCACATTTTGGACACATTATCCCAAAGGATCCATCCCTGGAGAAGGATATCATGTTTGGTAAAGCAGAAGGTCAGCAAAATAGAGGAAGAATCCCAACGAAGATGGACTGGCACAGTGGCAGCAGCAATGGGCTCAAGCATAGCAATGATTGTGAGATTGGAACAGGAATGGGCAGTGTTTTGTTCTGTTGTGCATAAGATCACTAAGACTCAATGCCACTTAACAACATACAAATGTTAGGTATAATAATCCCCTGTAATCAACAATTCCATGAAAGTGTAGAATATGAAGATTTACTTTTAAAATCAGATCAAGCTCTATGTATGGTTCTATAACCTGCTTTTTTCACCTAACAAGAATAAAGCCAATGATCTATGTAATCACGTTTAATGGCAGTGTTCTGGTTCTGTCTGTGAGTGAACCATACATTTACCTCACCAGTCCCTATCTTGGAACACTGAGTTTATTCTCAATTTTTAATACTATAGATAGCACTGGGGACTAATGTCCTTATACATAGATCTTCACTGATTTAATAAATTAATTTCTTAGAATAAAATTTCAAAAGGAAGCAGGACTTCAAAAGTGTATCTTTAAGACACTTATTGTTCCAGCTGTCAATCGGCCCTCCAGATAAGGACACAATGTAAAGTGTCTGTCTGTCTGTCACATCAGCAGTGCAGGTCCAACAGTTTTTTTGCATTTACCAACATGGCTTTTGCTTTCGCTTATATTTCTTTGAAGTTTTTATATGTTGGTCAGCAAATGTATGCTAGTTGTATATACTGACATAATTACTTTAGCTGACATTTGTATACACACAAGCATACAAACATCTGTCTCTATTTTTGGTTGAACCACTTAGTCTATTTTGCAGAAATCATGATCATTATGTCTAAATATGTCAGTGTGCATCTTGAAAAAATAAGGACACAACAATTATCACATACCACAAAAATAACAGTAATTCCATAAATATCATTTAATACCTAATCCATGTGTAAATGTATGGTTTTGAGTCTTTGTTATTTGACCTCTTCATATTCTTAACATGCAGAACGCCATTTTTTACCCCATTGCATCTGGTAAGGTAAATATTTTGTTATAGGCAGCAGATTCAGTAATGATTCTTAATTACTTTGTTCTGCATAAAGTAAGTTAACAACCTGTCCCTGCTCCCAGGCTTGGATGAGGAGAGGCTAGAGAGATAATTACTGTGCTAGACAGAGGATGAGAAGCATGTGACCAACAGAACACAAAGCAAAGGGTAGCTCAGAACACAGCTCATCTCTACTGACCACATTCTCCAAAGGTGCTGCACCAAATACTTTAAAGACAGGGTTCGGCTTGGAGGGGGATATGCAGAGGACAATAGCTTGCTGTCCCACTCGAGTCGTATATTCATCCAGTGTGGCTCGGAGTTTCCTGAAGAAGAAAACGAAAAGAGAATAAAAAGCTGTTCAAGACAAAAAAAACTACAGTGACATAGACACAGATAAAAGAGCCTTTAACTCAAGACCCTTTATTTTGTTTGATGTTTTCTTTGACCCTAAATGTGAAAAAAATAAGTGTGATGATTCACACCTATGCAGCAGAAATATGTACATACCTTTCTCTTACAGGTCAATGATAATTTTATGCTGTGTATAATTTGGCACAATTAAAAAACAAAATGAAACAAAAAACCAATGACTATTTAATTGATATACAGGTCTACTGAGGGTTTTAGCCTTGGGACACAGCCATGCCACAATGTTGAACACAGGGATCTTAACAAGAGACCACGGAGGTTTTCTCTTACTGCTTCTTCTAACAATAAAGATTACTGTTGAGATGTCATCCCCATGTTTAATGAAAGGGGCTCAAACAACTTGATTCTACTCATTGTTTGATAATGACTTATTTCTAATCTTTGATGGATGTAGTCCTTTATGTTTCATTGACATACTCTCATCCAAAAAATGCTAGCTTAAAAATGGTTTTCTTTGTGGTATATATGGTATCTAATTCTCAGTCTTGCTGTGCTTCACAAATGAGAATGGAGAGAAAAAGCTTTCTCCAATTTCTCAACACTGTGCTTCTCCACTGAAATCAAAGGAAATTATTTTTTAAATTCCAGGTTCCATAATTACTCTGGAAATACTGTCTGCCCTTTCAAAGAATTGAAGAGTCATGCCAATTCAAGGTAATACAGCTTAAGTTCTCCTTCTCCAAAGTGCCTTTTATTACGATGGGCTTTCTACAAATAGCACACTCTAGTTCTTCCGACAGTATCATCATCAGAGGCAACGGAGAAGCTGCTCAGCTCGTGCTACGTAATGTCTTTATATGCTGACAGCTACTAGTTAGTTCTTTTAGGTTTTTCCTTTCTAGGTGAAATAATTTTAGTTTCTTATGATCTGGTTTGTTGTTGTTAAGTGCCGTCAAGTCAGTTCTGAGCCATAGCGACCCTATATAGGATTTCCAGGGAACAGCTGGTAAGCTTGAACCACCAACCTTGCAGTACAAAAGGCTTTGCAGTCTGGCGCATTAACCCATAGCACCACACCAGGATGCTTTGGATGTCCCTAATATAGACTTTGTTACATATCATTTACATGGGCTAGCCCTTCATTTGGATATCATATTCCAATACAAATCTGGAAAATTTGGATATAGTATGTAAAACACTACACAGAAAAACTTCTGGAACATTCTATAGACTAAATTTATAACACATAAAGGCATGTTGTGTAGCCTGTCAACGCACCACACTTGTGTAATCTTTCTATTGCAAACCTACCAACCCTTCTGAAGGAAGAAGTGAAAGTAAGCAATCAACACCATTCTGTAAGAAGCTTTCCCAGACCAGCCTTATAGAGAATAAAAATCACTCTGATCTCACCTCACCTCCTGACCTTCCGATTGTCCTTACTCTGCTGTACCCCCCCGCCCCTATAGTACTTATGTGGTGGCGCTGTGGGTTAATGCACTAGACTGTAAAATTGGTTTGAATCGCCAAGTCTACGATTCAAGGTCACCAGCTGCTCCTTGGAAACCCTATGCAGGGTTGCTGTGGATTGGAACTGACTCAACAGCACTTAACAACAACACCAACAACAACAGTACTTATTACCACCTGACTTATTACCTATTTATTTCTCCCTCCACTGGAATATAAAATCTCCAGGAGAGCGTTTCACTCACTGTTATATTCTCAATGCCTTCGAACAATGCTTGGCACACAGCATGCACACAAATCTTCTCTGAATGAATAATGTGGTATCATACATTGGTTAATTCCTGTTTCTGGGCTTTCATCTATTTAATTTTATAAGACTATAAAATGGTGTAGAGTTCTGGTGTGGCACTGTGGGTTAATGCGTTACACTGCAAAGTTGGTTTGAACTGCAAGGTTGGTGGTTCAAGCTCACCAGTTGCTCCTTGGAAACCCTTTAGTGGGTCACTATGAGTTGGAACCGACTCGACAGCACTTAACAACAACAACATAAAATGGTGTGGCGCTGTAGGATCAACACTGGACTGCAAACCACAAAGTTAGCAGTTCAAACCCACCAGCTGCTCATTGTAAACCCTACACAGGGTTGCTATGAGTCTCAACTGACTCAACAGCACTTAACAACAACCACGGGAACAATTGTGAGGCTGATGTAGAACCGGGCAGTGTTTCCTTCTGCTGTACTCAGGGTCGCTAGGAGTTGGTACTTACTGGATGGCATCTACCAATAACCCCTTTTGGTGTTGCTGGTGAACCTAGTAGCATATGTTCTGTCACCCATATGTGGAGTATATGAGGAATAACAGTGTCATGGGTACAGAGCCCTCACCGAAGCAAGCGCGTTTGCTGTCTCTTCCGGATAGATGGATTCGACTCAAACACATGAGGCCTTTTCCTCTTCTTTCCTGTTGCCACAGCAGCCGCAGCAGCCATTCCCACAGGACCTGAAATAATCATGAATGTGCTGAGAGCAGGCAGAAGCCTGGTAACTGTAAGAAACAGAAGACACCTGACAGTACACTATGTTGCCAATAAATATAGTATGTTCTTGCTCTGACAAATACACTTCACCATGGTTTAACATGGATAATTGTTCAATCGACCAATAGAACTTACAGTGGATCTTTTACAAAAGTGAATGACTTACACCTTTCTAAAATATACAGCTTGAATTTTGTCTAATGTTGGGTTTTGTTGTTTAGTTTCATCAGTATGTGCATTCTATTAAGGCAATATTTACAGACGTCATAGGAGAAGTTGCAGTACTAGAGAAAGTTTGCCCAAAAAATTACAGACACAAACTTCATTTCCAAAATATATCAAGCTAATGTCAATAAAAAATGAGCAGGAGTGGCAATATTAATTTCTGATAAAATAGACTTTCAGGCAAAAGCCAGTATAAGCGATAAAGAAGGGCAGTCATTATATAATGATTAAAAGGCCAATTGAACAAGAAGACATCATCATACTAAATCTCTAAGCACCAAATGAAAGAACTCAAAAATACATAAACCAAGCTCATAACAAAGTTGAAAAAGAAATAGACAGCTCTATAGATTTTAACATACCACTTTGGATGACAGCATGACTAGAAAGAAACTCAACAAAGACACAGAAGAACTAAATATACATTAATCAACTTGACTGCATAGCCTTATGTACCACCAACAGCACAATATACATTCTTTTCCAATACACATGGAAATTTCTCCAGAACAGACCATATGTGGGGCCACAAAGCACACCTCAATACATTTTAAAACATCAAAATACTACAAAGCATCTTCTCAAATCAAAATACTATGCAATTAAAAATCAACAATAGGAAGATTAAGGGGAAAAATCAAATACATGGAAGTGGACTATATCTCTCTTTAAAAACTACTGGGTAATAGAAAAATTTAAATTGAAAAAAATTCCTTGAATAAAATGAGAATGAAAATACAACACAGCAAAAGCAGTGTCCAATGGGTACCCAACATTCAAAAAGAAGTAAGCCAAAACCAACACCTTGACCCAATATCTCCAATAATTAGTAAATGAGCAACAAAGTAAGCCTACATCCACTAGAAGAAAAGACTAGACCAAACATGAAACATAGAAACAATCGGATCAGGAAGACAAGAAGTTGATTCTTTGAAAGGATTGCTCAAAACTGACCATCTCTGAGAAAGCCAACATGTAAACAACACAACTGAGGAAATGATGATGTCACAACACAACCAGCGGAATAAACAGTAACAGAATACTATGAAGAACTATTCTCCAGCAAATTTGAAAAAACCTACAAAAAATGAACAAATTCCTAGAAACACACTACCTACCTAAACTAACACGAACTGAAGTAGAAAATTTGAATAGATCTTTGAGTCCTGGTGTGGTGCTGTGGGCTAATGCACTGGACTGCAAAGTCAGTTTGAACAGCAAGGTCAGCAGTTCAAACTCACCAGCAACTCCTTGGAAACTTTATACAGGGTTGCTGTGGGTCGGGACTGACTCGATGGTATACAACCACCACCACCATTCAAAACTAGGGAGTTCTGATGTGGTGCTATATGATAAGAACTGGGCTGCTGACCACAAAGTCAGCAGTTCAAACCCACCCTATACAGGTCCAGTATGAGTCAGAACCAGCTCAACGGCTCTTAGTAACAACAATTCAATCTGTATGCTGAGCAAATCATCCAAGAAACTAACCACAGAATCAGTAGTTTAAACCCACCTGGTAGCGTAGTGGTTACGAATCGGGCTGCGAACCTTAAGGTCAGCGGTTCAAAACTACCAGCCGCTCCGCGGGAGAAAGATGAGGCTTTCTACTCCCGTAAAGATTTACACCCTCGGAAACCCTGTACAGGGTCGCTATGGGTCGGACCCGACTCGATGGCACTTAACAACAACAACAAGCCACTCCTTAGATACCCTATACAGGGTTGCTTTGAGTCGGAACCGATTTGACAGCACTTAATAACAACAATTCAAACTATATGCTAAACAAATTATCCAAGAAACTGTGTTATATGAAGAAGTTCTGTAGGAAGACTCATTAACAACCTGTGATATGCAGATGATACAACCTTGCTGGAAGTGAAGAGGATTTTAAATACTTACTGATGAAGAATCAAACACTACAGCCGTCAGTATGAATTGCACCTCAATGAAAAGAAAAGAAAAATGCTCACAACAGGAGCAATAAATAGCATCATGATAAGCAGAGAAGTTGTCAAAGACTTCAGTTGAAGATTGAAGTTGTCAAAGACTTCAGTTGGCTGGGATCCAAAATCAATACTCATGGAAGCAACAGCCAAGAAACCAAATGACGTATTGCATTGGGCAAATCTGCTACAAAAGATCTCTTTTAAAATGTTGAGGAGCAAAGATATCACTTTGAGGACTAAGGTGCACCTGACCCAAGCCATATTTTCAATTACTTCATATACATGTGAAAGTTGGACAATGACTAAGAAAGACCACAGAAAAACTGGTGCATTTGAGTTACAATGTTGGAGAATATTAAAAAGTACCATGATCTGCCAGAAGAACTAACAAATTTGCATTGAAGTACAGCTAGAATGCTCCTTAGAAGGCAGAATGATGAGACTTTGTCTCTCATTACTTCGGGCATGTTATCAGGAGAGACCAGTTCTTGGAGGACATTTGAAAAACGGTCAGTGAAAAAGAGGAAGACCCCCCAACAAGATGGATTAACACAGTGGCAGCTTCAATAGGCTCAAACATAGCAACAACTGTGAGGCTAGCACAGGACCAGGCAGTGTTTCCTTCTGTTGAGCATATGGAGCACTATGACTCTGAACCAACTTGACGGTAGTGATGATGTAAGTAAGTGCTGATGACTATAATTATTACCTGTACAGGTTTAGATATCTTTTGTAGGATAATATTACCTATCTTGTAAACATTTTACTAACATTTAAATTGGATATGAAATATGACTTTTAAAACTTTCATTTCTACCCTTGTGTTTCTCTTTCATTACTCCAAGACGCAGCCAAGGTACAGCAGTTAGAGGTAATCATGCACAGCAGACACTTCAGCAACAACAGCCTTATGAGGAGCTATCTGGAAGAACACCATCTTAATTGGGAAACTCTTTTTTGAAGATCTGGGAATTGTGCCAAAAATGGAGCTGTTCACCAGAAGGTCAAACTGATGAAAGCATTCTGGCAGGAAAGAGAGGAGGAGAACTTTCCCACTCCAAGGAAAAGATGTTTATAAAATCTAGTCAGCTTTGCCCCTGAAGACTAATGGCTGAAATGAAGGTGTTGTTGTTGTTAAGTGCCATCAAGTCGGTTGCAACCCATAGCGACCCTATATATTTCTGAGGAGCAGCTGGTGAGCTTGAACCGCTGACCTTGCAGTTCAAACAGCTTTGCAGTCTGACTCATTAACCCACAGCGCCACACTAGGACACGAAGTAGTAGCTGTTAAGTACCATTGAGTCAGTTCCAATTTAAGAGTGATCCAGTATAGGATTTCCTAGGCTGTAAATCCTTGTGGAAAGAGAAAGCCTCATCTTTCTCCTAAGGAGTGACTGGTGGGCTCGAATCGCCAACCTTGTGGTTTGCAGTCTAGTACTTATCCTACAGAGCCCACCACGCTCCCTGAAACAAAAGTGGTGGTTGTTGTTCGCCATCGAGTCAGTTCCAACTTATAAGGACCCTATAAGAACTTCCAAAGCTGTAAGTCTTTACAGGAGCAGAAAGTCTCATCTTTCTCCCACAAAGTGGCTGGGGATAGCAACTGCTGACCGTTTGGTTAGCAGTCCAACGCGTAACCCACTATGCTACCAGGGATCCATGAGATGAAGGGTAGGCCCTAAAAAACTGTGTGGTGTCTGATTCCTGGGATTACAACACATCAAGGGCACCTCTTAATCTAGACTTCCTGGAGCTATGGAGGTTGGAAGATCTCCTAAAACTGTGAAGACAATCTTTAAACTTTACACCAAAAATGTTCCCTTAGAGCACTCAGTGTCTTCTGAAATATCTTCCTTTAATACCTGCAACCTTTCCTGCACCACTGGACTGTGAGGTCCTTCATGAGCCAAGCTTCTTACTTGCCTTACTTACTGGCCCTCACAACAATTCCTACCATATTGTCATCGCTCGATAAATAACTGTTGAATGCTTAATTGGTAAATAATTTCTACCAGCTGGGCTCCATTTCCACCAGTGCCCTTTTTTGGTCTGGTACTTTGACACTGGAACACAGAGAGGAGAGCAAAGCCATTTCTCAAAGGCTCATCTTTCTAAGGCAAGTTGGCCTGGATTCATTATGTTAGGATGCCCTCTACTGGCAATTTTAAGAAATTTCACAAAATATACCTTACAAATACTTCAAATTGTCTTATTTTTAAACTCTCTAGTCAAATTGGGCTGCTAACTTTGAGGTCAGCAGTTCGAAACTCCCAGCTGTTCCACTGCAGAAAGGTGAGTCTTTCTGCTCCCGTAAAAATGTACAGCCTTGGACACCCTATACAGGGTCGCTATGAGTCAGAACCGACTCCACATCCACAGCCAACCAACGAGTCCAGAATTATATGGATTATAAGATAGATAATAAAATTAATTATAAGACAGATGAAATAGCGTATTTTGCCATTCCTAATCATTGGATTTCCTGTTAGCTTTCCCAAATTATCTGGTAAAATCAATATTCCTTATTCAAAAAGTTGACCTGACAGACAATTCCTCATACAATTCTATACACCCAGGGATGACTTACACGAAGGCTTCCCCGCATGCTGTCACACATACAGTGTCAACATAAAAAGAATCAAGAAACATTTTCTAAGATAGGAAAGAGCTTTTCAGAAACCTTGTTATTTGTATTTACAGAATTATGGAAAAGGACAACACATTTGATCTACTGTATCCATTTAGAAGTATTTTCATTTCTAAAACAAATGTTTACTGAGTAACCATTA